GAAGCTGTGGGTGAGTTCGAGGGCGACTGAGTGGGCGACTGCGTGGGCGACGGCGAGCTCGTGGGCGACTGCGTGGGCGACTGCGTAGGCGAGTTGGTGGACGACTGCGCGGGCGTCATCGTCGGAGTCACGCTGGGCGTCACGCTGGCAGTCGGGCTGCTCGTGGGCGACTGGGTCGGGGTCTGGGTCGGCGTCACCGTGGGCGTCGCGCTCGGCGTAGGCGACTGAGTGGACGAAGGGGAGCTCGAAGGTGACCGAGTTGGCGAGTTGGTCGGAGACTGCGTTGGGGACTGCGTCGGTGACTGGGTCGGCGACTGGGTGGGAGTCATGGTCGGGGTCACGGTGGGAGTCACGCTCGGCGTCGGGCTGCTCGTGGGCGACTGCGTGGGCGTCACTGTGGATGAGGGCGACTGGGTCGGCGACGGAGTGTTGGAGGGTGACTGCGTGGGCGAGTTCGACGGAGACAGCGTGGGCGACTGAGTCGGAGAAGCCGTGGGCGACTGGGTCGGCGACTGCGTGGGCGACTGGGTAGGCGTCACGCTCGAGGTCGGCGAGCTGGTGGGCGACTGGGTCGGCGTCAAACTCGGCGTGGGCGACTGAGTGGGCGACTGGGTCGGCGACTGGGTAGGGGTCACGCTCGGCGTGGGCGAGCTGGTAGGCGAGTTGGTGGGCGACTGAGTCGGCGACTGGGTGGGCGAGTTTGCAGGCGAGTTGGTCGGCGACTGAGTCGGCGTAACAGTCGGCGTAACAGACGGAGTCGGCGAGGTGGTGGGCGACTGCGTCGGCGTCTGGGTCGGGGTCACACTCGGCGTTGGGGACTGCGTGGGCGAGTTGGTCGGCGACTGGGTAGGCGTCACGCTCGGCGTCACCGAGGGCGTGGGCGACTGAGTCGGGGTCACGCTTGGCGTCACAGTCGGCGTCACTGAGGCGGTGGGTGACTGCGTGGGTGACTGGGTCGGGGACTGCGTGGGCGAATTGGTCGGCGACGGGGTCGGCGATTGCGTGGACGTCACGCTCGGCGTCGGGCTGCTGGTCGGCGACGGCGTCGGCGTTTGGGTGGGCGACTGGGAGCTGGATGGTGTTACAGTGGGGGTGACGGTCGGCGTCATGGTTGGGGTCACACTCGAAGTAGGCGAGGCCGTGGGCGACTGAGTAGGTGACTGCGTGGGCGAGTTGGTCGGGGACTGTGTCGGCGTGACAGTCGGCGTCACCGTGGGCGTCACGCTCGGCGTCGGCGAGTTGGTGGGTGACTGAGTCGGTGATTGCGTGGGCGACTGCGTGGGCGAGTTGGTGGGCGACTGAGTCGGCGACTGCGTGGGCGACTGAGTAGGAGACTGCGTGGGTGAGTTGGTCGGCGACTGAGTAGGTGACTGCGTGGGTGAGTTGCTTGGCGACTGAGTCGGCGTCACAGTCGGCGTCGTCGAGGGCGTGGGCGACTGGGTGGGCGACTGAGTCGGAGTCACGCTCGGCGTCACAGTCGGCGTCGACTGAGGCGGTGGGTGACTGGTGGGCGACTGGGTTGGGGACTGAGTCGGCGACTGCGTGGGCGACTGGGTCGGGGAGTTGGTGGGCGTCTGGGTGGGGGTCACTGTCGCAGTAACACTCGGCGTGGGCGACTGAGTCGGCGACTGGGTCGGTGACTGCGTGGGCGACTGCGTGGGCGACTGAGTGGGAGACTGCGTGGGCGAGTTGGTCGGCGACCGGGTCGGCGTCACAGTGGGCGTCACGCTCGGCGTCGGCGACTGCGTGGGAGACTGGGTGGGCGAGTTGGTGGGCGACTGCGTGGGCGTCACGGTCGGAGTCACACTCGGCGTCGGCGACTGGGTGGGCGACTGAGTCGGCGAGTTGGTGGGCGACTGCGTGGGAGACTGAGTGGGCGACTGAGTAGGGGACTGGGTGGGCGACGGCGTGGGCGATTTAGTCGGCGACTGGGTCGGCGTGACGGTCGGTGTCACAGTGGGCGTCACGCTCGGCGTCGACGACTGCGTGGGCGATTGGGTGGGCGACTGCGTGGGCGTCACTGTGGGAGTCACGCTAGGCGTCGGCGCTGGGTGGGCGACTGAGTCGGCGAGTTGGTGGGCGACGGCGTGGGAGACTGAGTGGACGACGGCGTGGGCGACTGGGTGGGCGAGTTGGTGGGCGTCTGGGTGGGCGTCACAGTAGGAGTTAACGTGGGCGTCACGCTAGGCGTGGGCGACTGGGTGGGCGAGTTGGTGGGCGACTGCGTGGGAGACTGGGTGGGCGACTGCGTGGGCGAGTTGGTAGGGGACTGGGTGGGCGACCGAGTCGGCGAGTTGGTGGGCGACTGGGTCGGAGACTGAGTGGGCGACTGCGTGGGCGAGTTGGTCGGTGACAGAGTCGGGGACTGCGTAGGTGAGTTGGTTGGCGAGTTGGTGGGCGTCTGGGTGGGCGTCACAGTCGGCGTAACCGTGGGCGTCACGCTCGGCGTGGGCGAGTTGGTGGGTGACTGTGTGGGCGAGTTGGTGGGCGTCTGGGTCGGCGTCACTGTTGGTGTCACAGTGGGCGTCACGCTCGGCGTGGGCGAGTTGGTGGGCGACTGGGTAGGGGACTGCGTGGGGGAGCGAGTTGGTGGGAGACCGTGTGGGCGACTGGGTGGGCGAGTTGGTGGGCGTCTGGGTCGGCGTCACGTTGGCGTCACCGTGGGCGTCACCGTGGGCGAGTTGGTCGGCGACCGAGTGGGCGACTGGGTTGGCGTGACAGTCGGTGTCACTGAGGCGGT